TAAAAAGAAAAAAAAAAATAAAAAAGAAAAAGTATAGAAATCATAGATCCGAAAAGATTTCTTATTTATTTGGGATTAATCAATTGTTGAATTATTTAATCAGAATTTATGCGTTTCAAAACATTTCGAATTTCTTAATTTGTATCTTCTAATCAACGTTCTGCGATAATAATATTCATGAAAGTAAAAAAAAAAAAGAAAAAAAAAAAAATAATAGAAAAGAAAGCAAAAAAAAAGACGAAGAGAAAGAACTGTAGATCCTCGGAACTTTCGTAAAGAGATATTACTTAAACATTTTCTTAAAATAGCAAGCAATGATTTTCGATGATCCAAAGTTCATCGACGAGCATCTCGGTTGAAAGGGTGACTGAGCCGTTTAGCGCCACGTTGGGTGTCCCACGTGATGCAGAGGATCGCACAATGACTCCAAATTGCCGGTGCCTGTTCACAATCGTGACCAGTATCACATTCTAACACATATACATAGATATACATTCATATATACAACATATATATATATATATATATATATATAATGTATATGCATATACATTATATATATACATATATATATATATATATATGTATATATATATGTATATATATATGCATTATAAATCGAGACGTTCAGGTAAGTTCGAAACGCTTTGAGAAGGCAAGAGAAGAGACCCGACGTGGATTTTAATTATGTTGGAACGACGTAAACTGTAAATTACTTTGGAACATAAACTTGCCGTCTGAGGATAAAATCCGCGAGAGTTTCTCGCGAGCACAGGGTAAATGTGAACGCGTTTTACGTGATAGAGAGAAAGAGAGAGAGAGAGAGAGAGAGAGAGAGAGAGAGAGAGAGAGAGAGAGAGAGAAAGAGAGAAAGACTATCCATTCACGGAAGGCTTCTGGAGTTGTTTTGCGGGGGCGTACTGCGTGTCGAGCCGATAATACCGTAGCCAAGATTTTGATTCAACATCAAGAGCCTAGAATCATGCATTTGCTTTTAATAATAATAATAATAATAATAATAATAATAATAATAATAATAATAATAATAATAATAATAATAATAATAATAATAATAATAATAATAATAATAATAATAATAATAATAATAATAATAGTTATAATAGTAATAATAATAATAATAATAATAATAATAATAATAATAATAATAATAATAATAATAGTAATAATAATAATAATAATAGTAATAATAATAATAATAATAATAATAATAATAATAATAATAATAATAATAATAATAATAATAATAATAATGAAAAGAAGAAAAAGAAAAAGAAGAAACAAATGGTTGTACTGTACTGTCGATCAGTTTGATGAACTTTAAGAACGTAAGGAGTAATACAAAAACAAAAAAATCTACGAGACCGAATAAATCGTTAACAAGATAATCGAAAGGAATAAAATATACATACGTATATATATAATTAAATATATATCTATATATAGAACGAGGATTAATGAATAATATTTAAAAGGAGACTTGGAATAATATTTGAAGGTTATCTCGAGTTCAATGGGCAAAAGGGATTCTTCGTAGCATTTGCAACATTCTCGAACGTCCTCGATCTGGAGATTCTGCGTGTGGCCCTTTAGCTTTTCGAGAGAAAAGAAAAATTGACTAAAAGGAAAGAGAAAAAAAAATAAAGAAAAAAAGAGAGAGAGAGAGAGAGAAAGAGAGAGAAAGAGACGAAGGGTGGCGATGGTAATGGTGATCGTGATAGTGGTGGTGGTGGTTGGAGGGAGGAGAAGAGGAAGGAAAAAAGAAGAGACTGTTTGTACTCGGAGAGACACATTTATGGCCCAATCAACAGTGTATTCAAACATAGTCACACCTTCTCTTGCTTTGGCCCGACGTAAGTACAGACCAGGTGAAAAGCGTCCTTCACGAACGAAAAGTTCACGCGCGGAAGCAATCGAGCGTGTTTCTATCCGGCGAAAAAAATTTCTCTGATTATATCGTATATTTACGTATTAAATTTTAATGGAAACTATATTATTATGTTTATCTTCAATATTAACTTTAACCGAACGAAATTAACTTCATTTTGTCGCGACGATTTAGAGTAGGAGAAATCATGTGGATTTCTTTTTCTCTTTTCTTTTCTTCCTTCTTTTTAGTACTTTTCAAGAGAATTCGAAGGACTATTTTTAAAATTTTCAAATGATTCCACGATTCATGGGAGAAAGTGGTGAGAAAAAGAAAGTTAGAGAGATTGAGAGAGAAAGAGAGAAAGAGAGAAAGAGAGCGAGAGAGAGAGAGAGAGAGAGAGAGAGAGAGAGAGAGAAAGATCGATCATCTTAACACACGAGGTTTTTCAAAGCAGCTGTACCTGACTCTCTTCTTTTGGAGTCCTTTGGCTCTTTTTCAATGGACCGCCACGAGAGAACGCGCGTCGCACATTTTTCTACCCACGCATTTGGTCAAGCGAACGCGGGCGCGCGCGCACTTATGCGCCTCCTCTCAGATTTTCGTCGACTATTTGGAGCGCAGTGACATTTCGTCTATAAGATTCTTTCGTACCACAAGCAATCGATCTTTCTCGTTCCTTTTAAAATTATTCTCTTAAGATTCTCTTTATTCGTCAATGAAAATTCTCACTATTGAGAAACGATCATACATGATCAATTTTATTTTCTATATAGTTCGAAAATCATTTATATATTACTTTATTTTATACAATGATAAATCCCATTCGACTCATTCTGGGTTTTTCCTTTTTTCTTTTTTTTTCTTTTTGTTTTCTTTTTCTTATCGTTATTATAATTATCTTTAATTTATATGAATATTAATTTTCAATTTCATCAACAGTGATACATTTTATTTTCTATATCATTCGAAAATCATTCATATATTATTTTACTGTGTATAATGATTAATGTTATTCGGATCGTTCTGGTTATTTTTTTTCTTCCTTTCATTTTATCATTATTATCATTATCTTTAATTTCTATAAACATTAATTTTCGATTCCATCAATTCTATATTTTGTATATCATTCGAAAATCATTTATATATATTATACTTGTCTGTATACAGTAATAAATGTCATTCGTATCATTTTGAATTTTCTTTTTTTTTTTTTTTTTTTTTTAATCATTACTGAAACAAATCTTTTAACAAAATCATTAAACGGCATACATTTGTCGTTGGTTTTATTAAACAAATTTCAATCGCTAAAAGATAACGAATATTTAAGAAGAGAAAGAAAAAAAAAAAAGAAAAATATCCAAGAAGGATAAGAAAAAAAAAAGGAAAAAAGAGAAATAAAAAAATAAAGCCCATTTATATTCGACGCCCATAGAAAGAATCTCGACAACGAATGCGGCAATCAGCCGTATTCTCATCGTTCCCGTAGTCGTTACTATCCAAGAACATTTAATGTCATTGAAAACCATAAGAACTATATCTCTTGGACGCTTTGGACGAGGTGGTATTTTAAATACACTTTAGAATCATTTTACCAAATGCTCCATGAGTTTATGGGGATCGTGTCTCTTCTTAGCAGAAGAAGAAGAAGAAGAAGAAGAAGAAGAAGAAGAAGAAGAAGAAGAAGAAGAGAGAAAATGAAGAAGAAAAAGAAGAAGGAAGAGGAGGTGGATGTGGAGGTGGAGGAGTTGAAGGAGAGCTTCGAAGAGAGGATCTTTAGGCAACCGCTTACAAAAGAGGATATAAAGATGGAGGGGTAAGGGAGAATGAAAAGGAGAAAGAGAAGGAGGAGGAAGATGAGGAGGAAGAAGAGGAGGAGGAGGAAAAAGAGAGCCAGGTGTCGGATCATCCGGCACCATTACCAAACTGTATATCACTTTCAGTCGTGGACGACACCGGGCACAAGCGCGGCAACCATAGACGGCGTGTGCCTTCGTTTTATATATATATATATATATATGTATGTATGTATATATGTATGTATGTATGTATGTATGTATGTATGTATGTATATATGTATGTATGTGTGCGTCTATAGGCATATATCAAACAGGCCACGTTAATTTGACTCATTAAGCCCATTTTTATGGGGATAAATTAGTTTATACTAAGCGTTTGGAAGCCGGTTTAAACGATGCCGATCGTAAGAAGTTTAATAATCCATCGGGTTAGTTCTACCGGTCCTATCATTTTTAAGGAGATTTTTATTTCTTCTTCCTTTTCTTCTTCTTTTTTTCTTTCTTATTTTTTAATTTTTTTCTCTTCTTTTTCTTCTTCTTCTTCGTCCTCGTCTTTTTTCATTCACGCAATGGAAGAAGGAAAAGAAGAAGAGTTAGATTACTGTATAATCTATCATGAAACGGGTCGTTAGATTACAAGTATCTCGGTTAATGCAATCGATTCGGACATTTTTTCTTCTCTTTTCTTCTCTTTTCTGTTCTTTTCTTTTTTTCTTTTTCGAGGTTGGATCGTTAGGTTTCTCTATAAAGGGATATTATATGTCTCTTCTTTTTTTTTCTTCGCTCTCATCGATTTCTTTTTTTTGTTTCTCTTTTGGGAATTATCAGAACGTCGTTTTAATATATAACCGTGGAATGCGCTTTCTAATTCATATAACGATCTGGATTTTATCTGGTATTTGATTATATAATTTCTTCGTTCAATATGACGTGTTAATGTTAGAACGATTAATTATTACCAATTAATTTCTCGCATTATTAAGATTACGTTATTTATTTTGTCATTATATAAGATTCCATATTTTATGTATCTATTGACGGAAAAATTTAGGAAATTACTTTTTAACATGTAAATTTTTCTCTTAGAATTAGTCAACAGTGTTCTCAACAAATATACATTATAAAACATTCCCTTCATGAGTTTATAACTGTTTCTCAGAAGTTCTCTGAGGAACTCGGTAGATTCGAGAAGGAAAGAAAGAAAGAGAGAAAGAAAGAAAGAAAAAAACGAGAATGAGTGAAAAAGAGATAGAATAGCTTCGACACCTGCTCGAACTGCGGGTTTAGGTTGTCCGACTCAATTTCACTCTTTTCAGGATGTCGACAATCGTATCCACTCGAGAACGAAAAGCGACACCTTGGCCGCATCCTCTCGACTACACAAGGATTTAAACAACTTGAAATGGTTTCCACGGTCGCTTCTCATCACAATGCCAAATTCGAGAATCTTTTGGAACTTGACTTCTCCACGGTAATACCGATCTACCATTCATCGATTTGGCCCATGCCATGTCACCCCACGCCTCCTCCCCTTCACCTCTCCAGTTCTCATCGTACCCCAGTTCCTTTATGACCCTATATGACAGTAGTATCCCACAGAAAAGTTCGAAGTATCAAGAATAAACGGAGTATTTTATAACATGGCGTTTTGACCACCTACCCTCTGGCTTCATTAACCTTGACGTTTATGTTTTCAATGGTTCTTTTCATTTATTCTTTTTTCTTCTTTATTTTTTTTTCTTTTTTATCAAATCTCAACAATCGATCTTTTCCGAAGAAAAATTATTATTATTATTCTCTGAACTGGTAGTCTCTGTGAAGCATCGTACTTCGCTATTTAAAGATCAAACAATGCAGAATCTTTGGGAAGAAATTTTTCTTCTTTTCTTTTTTATTTTTTCTTTTCTTCTACTTTTATTTACGTCAGTAATAACATTATCGTACGATTAACGTCAACAAAAATATCGAGAGTCATCATGTCGTCATCATTACAGATCGCTTTTACAGATTCTTAAGGTTTAGATTTTCTATAGTATGACATTGTAAATATCCTGGTTTCGTAATGGAACCGAAAGAAAAATGGGGAAAGTGATTTTAGACCATAGCAACGATCGTTTGGAAAAAAAAAAAACTAACTGGCGATAACTTTTGACTCAGGCCACCAAATTGTTCGATTGTCCGTCTCGAGTGGTTCCTCTATTGTCGGTTGGCCGCAGCTGTTCGAACGACTCTTAAATCGCAATTATGCGAGAACGTTCGAACCCACTACACTAGCGATGGGAGACGATGGAAGGTGGCATTTTCTAACGTTTCGCTCAAAAACTTATCCTTCGTGCGGACGACAATGCTCATGGAACGAATCCTTCAGAGGTAGTCTATACACTTTTATTCTTTCTCTTTCTTTCTCTCTTTCTCTCTTTCTCTCTTTCTTTCTCTTTGACTCGTTTAGAGATTGTAAGATCGTCGAGGGCGTGAGGCCCAAACCGGAATCCATTTTCCAGTCCGTAACACTATTCAAGAGCTATTCGAAGAAAAAGAGAATCTATGAAAGAGAGAGAGAGAAAGAAAGAGAGAGAGAGAGAGAGAGAGAGAGAGAGAAAGTACGTGCTATGTTTGCTTGTGTAGATATCTTTGACCGAGTAACTAAACCTCGAAGATCGATTTTCTCCGAAAAATAAAATGAAAAACAACTGCGAGTTATCGATTGAATTTCTATTCTGACGAATCAATGATATTTTATTAATCTTATTAACATCGAAGATATTTTATTAATTAACTATTATATGTTTTCTCTCTCTCTCTCTTTCTTTTTTTACTTATTTATTTATTTATTTTTTTATTTATTTATTTTTTTCTAGATATTGAAATCATTATCATTTTAACAGCTGATCAATTTTCGAAGATCAATTTTCATTGGAAGTAAACATTTGGTCGGATATCATTATCAAGGTTTAAGGTACACACACTCAAACATAAAAATTAATTATAGGAACAATTGGAAGAAATAGTTAGAGTTCTCGATCAAATTAAATGAATAAATCGTTAAAGAAATTTTATTAATCAACAATTATCGTTTTTTGTTATTAATTTTCTATTTATTAATTATAAATAAGTATCATTCGATAAAGTCGATCGGACTAAAATAGATCAGTTATCGAAAGTTAATAGAAAGTGATTGTAGTTATCGAAACAATGAAGAGATAAATGTTTCCTTTTTTGTTTGAAGAGATAAATGTTTTGCGTTGGACGTCCAGAAAAGAAAAGAAGAAAAAAAAGAAAAAAAAAAAATTAATTGTCAAATTAATTATGAAAGGGATGGGGAAAAGTTGTCGTGTAAGAGAGATATATATCGCGAGGGACATTAAATGAAAATGAATTCATCCGTGCGAAATGTATGTTCCTTCGATTTAAGTGACAGAAAACATTGTCCCCCTTGGTAGTACTCACTTTCCTCTTGGCATTCTATTTTTCCTCCTCGTCTTCCTTCGTCTTTCCTTCTTCGTTTCTTTTTGTCTCTCTCTCTCTCTCTCTCTCTCTCTCTCCTTATCCTCTTCGTCCTCCTCATCCTCTTCTTCTTTTCTCATTTCTCGTGCCTTCGTGCACGGCTGCACGCGCGATGCTTTCGTGAAAGGAGTGAGAGAGAAAGAGAGAGAGAAAGAAAGAGAGAGAGAGAGAGAGAGAGAGAGAAAGAGAGAAAGAGAGAGAGAGAGAGATGAGAAGAGTCGGGTATCCCCTAATAGACCGGCTGTCTTCTTAATTGACTAGGTGGGTCGTGAGCGCGTGATGGGTCGCGCCTCCCGACTCGAAGAAATAAAACTGGCAAGATCGAGGCGATGAATCCGGTTGCCGCTTCTCTGAGATCTTCTCTCTCGTCTCTCTCGTCTTTTTAATCGCCTTAACGATTTCCTTCGACTTATTTCCCTATTCTTTTTTTTTTCTTTTTTTTTTATATCTTTTATGTTTCACTTATTTCCCTTTTTTATTTCTTTTTTTATTTTATTATTTTTTTCTTTTTTCGACGACGTTAACAACGACTAAAGATAAGATGTTTTTTCGATCAAACAAATTAAAATAAAATATCTGTTCGATAATAAAATTTTACGATTATCCTATTGCTTTTTAATTTTTCATATTTTTCTCCTGAAGACTGAGATCAAATTTAAAATTAGGAATCAATGTGGATTGAAGAAAAGTGAATGGTACCGGTAATTCTGATAAATCTGATCGTAAGACTATTTACTAGTTGAAACGTTTTCCTTACTTTTTTTTTCTTAATCTAAACTTAGTTAAAGAGAGCTAAGAAACAAAAAAGAATATATATATATATATATATATATATATATATATATTCTTATATATATATATATAGACCGAGTAAAAAAAGGAGATAATTAAAGAAAGAAAAAGAAAAAGAGAGGTAGATAGAAAGAAAGAGAGAAAGAGAGAGAGAGAGAGAGAGAGAGAGAGAGAGAGAAAGAGTGATAGATATCAGAAGAGAAGAAAGTTAAGAGTTCTTGAGAGTCTATGCTAGGTCGGAGTTGGTATCCAGCGAGATGACGTATGGGAGACCACGGTGCTTTCTATTTTCGGTGGCGTTTAAGAGAGAGGGTAGAGGGAAGCCGACATGTGCTCGATATTTAGACACTGCTCGTCTTCTTCGACCGCAAACTCTCTTCTCCTGTCCTCTCATCTCGTCTCATCTCCTCTTCTCTTCTTGTCATAGAGTTTCGAACTTTTCGACCGTCTGTCTCTGCTCCTACTATCCCTTATCATCTCTCTCTCTCTCTCTCTCTTTCTCTCTCTTCCCCTCCCTCCCTGTTTCCTTCATCTTCCCATTCGTTCATACTTAACGTGGATGTTTAGCCTCGCCGTCGTTATAAATTACGTATCATTCGCTTTCCAAACTGACAGTACGGCACGCGTATACGGAATGCGAATACACCCGCGGCATCTCGTATTCTTATCTATCCTTTTCTATGTATTTCTCTCCATCCATCTGCATCTTTCCGTTTCTCTCATTCCCCCCTTCCTCCCTCGCCAACTCTAACCCACTACACGTCACCCCCTTGGCCGAAACACATGTACTTAGGCGTCATCCTCTCTTACGAATGTTTTAAATGTTTTAGATGTGAAATCAGTTTTGTAGGTAGATAGATAGATAGGTTGATATAAAAAGACTTGACTTTGAAATTTGATAAATATCCTTGATTATAATTATTCTATCTATAATTATTCTTTTTATAATTTTTGAAAATACTTTTTCATAATTATTTTTTTCTCCATTAAAGTATAAAAAAAAATTTCGATAGGATTAGAACAATATATTATCGATCGATAAATCGATATTTCATTATCGAATGTCGAGTGTCATTTCAAAATTTGATATAACTTCGGTATAATTTTAATTCACGTATAAAGAAATCAAATATCGATTGTTCGTTCGTTCGTTCGTTTGTTCAACATTGAATCACAACAAACATGAATAAGTTCGATTGAACGTTGAAACGTCTTTTCTTGGCAGTGAACTAACGTTAACTATATACCCGCCGTGTTCTAATTCTAAACACGTGGCCGTCCCTGCTCACCCTTTCCGAGAACCATTCTTCGTCACGCTCGCGGGCATTTTACGATCTTTTCGGATTGTCGTGCGAGATCGTTTGACCCGCCCTTTTGCCAGATTTTCGCTTCCCTGATCGGGTGCCTGATAAATAGGGGAGAAAGAAAAAAAAGTGTAGGAAGGTAGGTAGATAGATAGAAAAGTGAGGAAAGATAATATAGAGGTATAGATTCTTTTGAAACATACACTATTATTCGAAAACTATTATTCGATCGATGTTGATCAAGTTGATCAATAAACGATTAAAAAAGATTGAAATTATATCGATTATATTTATATTAGAAATCTTAAATAATGACATTATTTAAAGAGATTTTATCGAGATATTTATTTTAAAAATTAACCCAACAAATTTCTGTTAATTCACCAATCAAATATTTATTATTTTATATCTAAATACGTCGTTAAAAAACAAATTAAATATTACGTGAAAATTGAGTTAATGGTATTTTCGATTGAAAGGGTTTAAATTATCAAAATAATTAACAAAAAAAAAAACCAAAAAAAAAGATAATAAAAAACAAGAATAAATAAAGTTGATGTCATTTTACTTCCACTAAACAGTGGCATCTTCAGAAGACGTAAATATATTCTTTCTCTCCTCTCTCTTTCTCTCTCTCCCTCTCTCTCTATTTCTCTTCCTCTCTTTTGTCATAGTAAACCGTTTAGTTGCACGACCAAAGAGGACGAAGAGGAACGACATGTAGTAGACAGAAGCGAGAACGAGGAAAAGAAGGATGGTCGCGAGGTACACAGTGGCAAGCAAGTAAGCAAGTAAGCAAGCAGTCAGCCAACCAAGCAAGCAAGCAAGCAAGCAAGCAGGCAGGCAGGCAGGCAAGCAGGCAGGCAGGCAGGCAGGAAGGGCGGGAGGGAGGGTAAAAAATATCGTCTCGTTGCCGAGATGCCAGAAGCGGGACACGCATACCTCTTAATTGGAACGCTTTGCTCCTCGGTCTAAGCGATTTCGTTCAGATTTCGAAGGAAATGGGCGTTTAAGTGAACACCGTAGGACCATTTACAAGGCCGAACTGACTCAAACAAAATATCCTCGTCGCTAACCGTATTTCTCATATCCGACTTTTTCTACTGTGCGTGCGTGATGATATCGGTCATCTTCAGTAAGGATGAAAGGCGGAAGGATTTTAGAAAAGAAAAAAAAAATAAAATAAAATAAATAAAAAGAAATGAGAAAGGAATGAAGTAAATAAATAAATAAAAAAATAACCGAAATGAAAAGATTAAAAGGTAAAAAAGAAATATTAACAAATGGGAACGATGAGAGCGAAAAAAAAGAAAAACGAGGACGAGAGGAAGAAACAAAAAAGAAAGCAAAAAAAGCAAAAAAAAAAACGAGTCGAGCACTCTTGCAATTCTTTCTTCGTTCGCAATTTAAATTCTCCCAGACACCCTTAACCGCGTGGCCTGTAAACCGAGCAAAAAGAAATAGAGGTGGTATACGAAGAGAAAGAGAGAGAGAGAGAGAAAGAGAAAGAGAAAGAAAGAGAGAGAGAGAGAGAGAGAGAGAGAGGAGATGAGGGAATGGCGAAAAAGGAGCAAATCGAGATGTCCGTCTCGCGCTTACCAAGCGACAGGAGAGCGTTCGTTTTTTGAAGTCTGTATTGCTTACAAATGTCCCGCTGTAAAAAGCGAGCAGTAGGGCTCCTAATGAGTCCGGTTGTTAAAAGTCTCTTCTATCTTTCCTTTTTCTACACCTCTCTCTCTCCCTCTCTCTCTCTCACTCTCTCTCTCTCTCTCTCTCTCTTTTCCTTCTCTTTCATTTCAAAAAAGATTCCAAGCCTCAGCAAAGATCACTAAGACACTAAGAACAGTTATCTTATTTTGAATATTTATTAATTTACAAATATGTATACACACACATACACACACATACGCACACACACACACACACACACACACACACACACACACACATATATATATATTTTCTTATTTTGTTATTTTAATCAGAAACGTCGAACGTTCGTAAAATTTTCTTCATCTTTCGAAATATTTGTTATATTTTCACCGGTTAAGCCTACGTGATTAGAACAGATAGAGAAATAGAGAAACAGAGGAAGAAAGAGAGAGAACTTGCGGTTCGAACGTAGTAGATATATATAAATATATCTATAATACATATGTACATATAAGAACGCGTGCGTTTATACGTTTACGCATGCACGCACTCACGGGCAGAGGCTCGACGAGGGCCCCGTGGCTCTTGATAATTAAGATGGAAATAACGAGGGGACTTGTCGAACTTGCCGAGTATAATCATTACGAGTGTGCGAGCGCGCGAAAGCTCGAAACACATGTCCCTCCCGAGGGCAACACTTCCTGTCGTTAAACGCTCGGCGAAACCGTTTGCTTCTGCTC